TACTACTACTACTACTACTACTACTACTACTACTACTACTACTACTACTACTACTACTACTACTACTAATATTCCAGTGAGGGAAATCTCTCAAAAATCGACCTAAAGGAATTTCCTCAATATCAGAAGGGGATTGTCCGGAATCTTTCCTGATTTCATTTGAGAGAGTTTGTTGGGACTTTGAGTTAAACATGATGAGAGGATGAAAATGTTAAGATCACAAATAAGTGGAGTTTTATCTGAACTTTATTTACAAATGCCTGTGGAGCAAGCTAGAGATTTTGAGGCTGATAGAAAGATGGTGTATTCCCGATTTGGAATTAATTCAGAGCACCTCAGAAGGAAATTTAGATCAAGTTCAAAGAAACCTGAGGAGTCTTTTGCGCAGCTTAGGGCACGTTTGATGCAGTATCTCAATAAATGGTTGGAACAGGAACATGTGTCTACCTTAGGTCAAATGAGAAATGTGTTTGGATTAGAATAATTTTATTCAATTTTACCAGAAGAGTTACGTCATCTTGTCTAGGATAAGGATCCCAAAAATGTGCTGCAGGCGTCTGAATATGCTGATTCTATTAGTGGAATCAGAGATCCCCTTTTTTATTTTTATGTAAAATTTGGTGGCAAAGTATGGGATGATAGTAAATTCAGTAAAAACAAAAGTTACTTCAGTCAGGCACAAGCAAAGGGAAGCAAACCCTCATCCCCCCTGAAATCAAATAATCCTGAGGGAAAAGTTAATAAAACCTTTTATTCTGAAACTAGAGCCAATAAGAAATGTTTTTCCTATAGGGAAGTGGGTCATTTTTGGGCTCGATGTGAAACTCAAAAGAATAAAGATTACAATCAGCCTAAAATAGGATTTTCCTTGCAGCATAATAGGTTGCAGCAATCGGCAGTTGAAGTTGAGGCCTCTACCAGCAGCAGCACTGTTGCTTAGGAAACAGACTTGGCAGAGAGCCCAGAAATTGCTGAAGCCAGTGTTATAATGTTTTTTTATCCAGTGTGATGAAGATTTACTGGATAACTCTGGGGAAATTATTTTGACAACATAAAGTATTTAGATTTAAAATATACATGTTCCCAAGTTACTATTTGTCACTCAGACATCATTCCTACAGGAAAAAATGTTAGAACATGAGGTCATGGCATTAGTTTGGACTCTGTGGTTCTACCAGTGGCTAGAATAGCAGTGAAATACCATGGGTGGTCTGGTATATTGAAAGTAGCAGTGTCAGATCAGATCCCAGCTTCTTGTTTGATTGGTTTTGATCTAACCAAGCATATGTTAAAAATATTCTCTTTTGAAATATATTAAATTACTCTGAACTTCTTCCATTTCTGTATGTCTAACATCTTTCTTTTCGCATGTATCTCTGAAATAATGCTTATATTCTTATTAGAGATGGGGGAAATTTTATTCATATATGAATATCAATATCCCTGCATAGGTGGCAGTAATGAGGGTCCAGCCCCATGGGGCCGGATGGTCCACTCACCTATCTGCCACTGCCGCAGTTATTCTTCCAGTGGCTTCGCAGATCGCAGTCGGTTAGCCACTCCTGGCAGGAGGCAGGAGGACAAGCCCCGCTGCAAGGTTGAAGAGTGACTCACAGATTGTGATTCTTATCCATCATATATTTTCTTTCCAATAATCATATTTTATCTGAAAGTTTCTCATATGATTTTATCATAGTCTTTTATGGTAACATGATTCACTAATACCAATTCCTCTGATTATCACCTTCATAGTGTCCCAAATATTACTATGCTTGCAGTGTTTCCTGTCATTAATGTCCCATATCCCCTCCTTTTTTTTCTATTTTATGTATTATTTTCTTTTGTTAAAAAGAGTATTGAATCTCCAACTCTTAGCTTCTCTATAATCACATTTAATTTTAAACTCCATATTTAACAAAGCATGTTCTGTTACTTTTAAGATTTATCTCCATTTTAATTACTCTCAAAAGCAGTTGATTAGATACAAATATGTAATCTATTCTAGAGTATGGACAGAGGAGTGAAGTGTACATTTCTTTTCATTTTCTGTCATCACTCCAAATATCTTTCAGGTCAGTCCTCCTTATTCTATTCAATACTATTATTTTTCTCAGGTTTAATGGGGTTTGATTAATCCTTCTTTTTATCCATAACCATATTCAGATCACCTACCATTATTACAGACTCTTTCCTTCTTTTTTTCCAATCTCTTAAATATCTCTTTTAAAGGACTTGTATGGGTGGATTCTTTAACTTTAAAGAACCTTTAACTGACCAGTTTGCATTCCTTCTCCCATACTCTATTTCCCTTTTAATATCATCTCTGCCTGGAATTAATACTGTTAATTAAATATTACCAAACAGTTCTTCAGAATATATCCCTATCATGCTTATTTATTATCTACTATAATATATGAAACTTTGACTCCTTAACATCATCAGGTCCTTTCATGAGGAAATGGGCACTGTAGGTTTTGATGGCTCAACATCACATCCCTTTGACATCCGAAGCGGAGTGAAACGGGGCTGTGTCTTCGCGCCAACCCGGTTTGGGATCTTTTTTGCTGCCATGCTGAAGCATGCCTTTGGAACTGCAACAGAAGGTGTCTATCTCCGGACTAGATCAGACGGAAAGCTCTTTAATCTCTCTAGATTGAGAGCTAATACCAAAGTCCAACTGAAATGCATACAGGACTTCCTCTTCGCCGATGATGCAGCCATTGTTGCCCATTCTGCTGAAGACCTCCAACAACACATGAATCATTTTACAAAGGCCTGCCAAGACTTTGGACTAACAATCAACCTGAAGAAAACACAAGTCATGGGCCAGAGTGTGGACTCGCGTCCCTCTATTGCCATCTCCACACAAGAATTGGAGGTTGTTCATGACTTTGTGTACCTTGGCTCAACGATCTCTGACACTCTCTGCCTAGATGTTGAAATGTATAAACGAATTGGCAAAGTAGCTACCATGTTGTCTAGACTCACAAAGAGAGTATCGCTTAATAAGCTGACTGCATATACCAAGATCCAGGCCTATAGTGCCTGTGTCTTGAGTACACTCCTGTACTGCAGTGAGTCCTGGACCCTTTGTGCATGGCAGGAGAGGAAGTTGAACACGTTCCATATGTGTTGTCTCTGATACATTTTTGTATCATCTGGCAGGACAAAGTTCCAAATAGAGTAGTCCTAGAACAAGCTGGTATTTTTAGCATATATACATTATTGAAACAGCAGCGTCTATGTCAGCTTGAACATGTCGTGAGAATGGCTGACGGCCAGATTCCAAAAGATCTCCTGTATGGAGAATTAGTGCAGGGAAATCGCCCCAGAGGGAGACCACAGCTGCGATATAAGGATATCTGCAAGCAAGAAGGCCTTAGGAATGGACCTCAACAGATGGGAAACTTTGACATCTGAGCATTCAGCCTAGAGCCATCATGGCCTCTCCCAATTTGAAGAGACCCAGCAGGCCGAGGCGAAGAGGCAGTCCCGAAAGCAGCAAAATCAGGGAGCTGGACAAGGGGCAGATCATATTTGATTTCAGTGTGGAAGGGATTGTCATTCTTAAATTGGCCTTCTCAGCCACACTAGATGCTGTTTCAAGTCCTCCATACAGAGCACGTTACCATAGTCTCTCGAGACTGAAGGATGCCTACACACAATATATGAAACCAATTTCAATAATACTCATTTTTCACCTTGTTAGAATCTTATTCTCCCAATGTCCAAATTAACTCTCTCTCTCTAAAACCATAACACACTCCCTTTTTCCTTTTCCCTTCCAGTCCTTTACAATACAGTAACGTATGTTTCAGGCAAATAGATCTAAAAAGGGGGGAAACGTCGGTTAGTTTAATTTTATTTTAATAAATGTTACTATTTTAACTATTCAGTCTTGTCCGTATGCTTGTATAATTTATTCTTTCAGTAGAATTGGTTTGCATGTACAGACTTAACAGCTTTAGTCTGTTAATAGTATTCTAAAATTAGATTTCTACTCTGGATAATGATGTCATTTGGATGGAGAGGAGTTAATATCCAGCTTTCTTGTTCTTTTATATCTAAATGTTGGCTGTTTTGCTGATTTCAGAGTTTCTGACCTAACGATTCTCAGGTTATTTGCAGCATAGGATTCATTATGGTGCAAACTGTGTGTGTCATGGGGAATCTGTTTTAAAGCAAGCAGCTTTGAAGAGAGCTGTAAGCTTGGCTTCACTCTAAATAAGAGATTTTACTAAACCAAAATGCAAAAGACTCTGTATATTTAATTACTAGATGAAAAAGTAAATGCAACATCTGGCAAGAATCACTTTACTGTTTTGAAGCAAGGAAACAGTACTTAAAAGAAAATAACATACATTAAGAATTTGCCATCATTTTGTTGCAAAAAAGTAAATAAATAATACTTTTATTTGAGTCATTGTTCACTGTGTGTTCACTTATCCTGAAACAGTACAGATACAATGAAGTTATTATAATGCTAAATGAAATAGTAGGAACAAGCAAAAGCAGCTTGATTTGATGCAGTCGTCTGATAGCAGATTATTATCAAATTGACTTCCGGGTTTGCTTTCATCTGTTCCATTATAATTTGATTTCATGATGTCCATGATATGGATATCCATGTGCTTCATAGTCTTGTTACAGATTCAGATGTTCTAAAAATGAAATGCTTGTTCATATGAAAAGAGAAGATTCCAAACTGTATGTTTTATTGTATCATGAGAATATGAAATCTTCAGTATCCAAAAAAACATTTCTTATTAAAAATCTCTGATGTGTGTTTTTTCATAGCAAATAAAAGAAATGTAGCCATATCTCAGTCAAAATAAAAGTTAGAGTTTAGACAACTAAAACATCAGTACTTTACATTACATTATCTTATTTTCAGGTACAGGCAGTTGCAGCTCAGCACAGAAAGCAAAGTGGCTGAATTCCTCCATCAGAGCAAACTGAAGTCCTTTGAAAGTGAACGTGCACAACTCATGCAGGAAGAAACTTCCAGGAACCTTTCACAGTGCCAGCTGGAATGTGAAAAGTACCAGCGGAAACTAGAAGTATGTAAGAAAACCATCCAGACTCTTGCAAGTTTCAGTTGATACATTATGTGGATCAGGACAGTGATGAGGGTCTTCAGCACATGAACATTGCTCTCTTTCCATCTCAGTGATAATTAACTAATAAAGGATTTTATCACTTTAAAAAAACAATTCTACCAAATAACACATAGAGCAGCCCAATAAGAAACAAATAAGATCTATTGGCACGCATTAACATAGAGTGATTTTTTTAATCGTTATATGTTATTTTTATAATTGTAAGGCAAATTATTTTGTTGTTACATACATAATAAAACAAATGCTATGAACATTTCTCTGATTACATCTTCAGCCAATCTTGGCTGTGATTGAAAAGAACTTTCATTTGAGAGAATTTCAGAAGAGAAATTTCAGAGAATTTCTCACGGGCAAATTTAGAATTTTTGTGCTTACTTTTTAATGAAATGATTGAAAAATATGTTTATGTCTTTTCTTTAATGGTACAGTCCTCTTGATCAAGCCAGCAGTACTCCTTTGCCCCTCCCCTTCCTACACGTCAGTTAAAACTGATGGGAAAATGTCTTAGGTTAACTCCTTGCACAGGCCTTTTTCCAAACAGTCAGGGAGCAGTCAGGCAAAGTCCAGGAGAAGATGAGATGTGCCATCATAATGAATTAACTAATATCCTACCTTTCTTCCAGGACCCAAGGTAGCTTACAACATAATTTAAGAACAGATGCAACAAAGAAACCGTTAAACCAGGGGTCGTCAACCCCCAGTACGCGGCCCGGTGCCAGTGGGCTTACCAGAACTGGGCCGTGGAGACAAGTCTCCACCCCCCGCCTCCCCCCGGAGGGGCGTGTCACACTTTCTGAGGGGTGTGTTGCTGTCCTAATGGTTCCCCCAGCACCCGTTCCCTGCAGGGAAGCTGTTGCGGGCAGCCCATCCGGGAAGCGCCAACAGCCGGTCAACATGCTCGGTGCCACCCCACCCCAAGTGGGGCTTGCCTTCTGGGGCCTCCCATCAGAGCCTCGCTCCTGCCCTTGCAGCAGCGGCTCCATTGCTCCTGGTGGCCCTGCCCGGGAGCCCTCGCCTCCTTCTTCTCCAGCAGGGGAAGCATCCCCTGTCACCGGAGCCCCGCTTCCCTCGCTAATTGAAAGCGCTCAGCAGGGAGGGAGGGGGACGCGCCGGCCTTAGCTCCAAGCCACAGCCTGGGCGGCTGCACACTGTCCATCGGTGAGGGAAGTGGGGCTCTGGCAGTGGAAAATGCTTCTGCTGCCAGAGAAAGGGTTGGATAGAATGGTCTGTCATTTCTGGAAGCTGCCTGGGCTAGCCTCGCAAAGTTTGCTCCTCTGTCATGGTGGGGGTAGCTGCTGGTGCTGAGTGCGCCTTTTTTTGAGGGGGCCCCTCAGAGGAAGGTTGCTGGACCTCCATGTGTGTGTTTGTGTGTATGCGCCCGCCCGCAAGCACCTGTGGTGGAGGCCGCCCTGTTCTGTTTAATTTTGCGGGTACCGATGTGGGCTTTTCTCCTTTGGCAAGGCGATTCTGTGAGGGTTTTTTTAAAAAGTTTATGTTATGCCCTCCCTCCCCCCCCCGGCTAGCCGCTCGCTGGCGCTCCCTCCCTTCTCTGCTTCTTCGTCTTGCTGCTGGTGGTAGTGAAGAAGGAGCCGGAAGAGGTCGTGACCGGCAATGAGGGCTCTCACACATCCTCCTCCTCCTTGGAGCCTCAGCCGGGCTAAGGAAATTCCTGGGCAGCCTTGCTCCGCTTGGCAGAAAATCTGATGTGGCCCAGCCTCACCCAGACTCTGCCTCCAGCGGCCCCCAGATAAATTGAGTTTGAGACCCCTGGCTTAGAACAACAAAAAGCAGTAATAACCCACCATTAAAAGGCCTTATTTTCCATTATGATGATATTGGTCTTTCAAGAAGAAGGATTTTCTTCCCAGTGATGTCTGAGAATGGTGCAGGGGTTCATGGAACTCTCAAAGGCTTTACAGAGGAGCCTCTCAGAAATACCTGTCCCATGCTCCCTTGAGACTTCCCTTGAGCACTTGCACCACTCCCAGGCACCAGTAGAAGCAGTTTCCTTCTTCTTGAAAGACTGGTATAATGATGACGAAGACTCACATGGAAGTGAGAAAAGCTCTTCTTTTAAAGTACACTTCTGGACTGCAGTTCCCAGGGTACTTACTGCCGGGGGGGGGGGGTTTCATTGCAAATTCTCTTAGTCTCCATTTGGATTGATGACTGAACCAAGGTACAGAAAATCTTATAAAACTGGATTTTTTTCACTGTCAACATTAAAGTTAAGTAATTCTTCTGTGAACATGATTTTTGTCTTTTTAATATTCAACTCTAGTCTTGCTTTTGCTCTTCTTTCCTCTTCATAAGGTGTCATTTCAAGTCACTGCTGCCTTCTGCCAGTAATATGGCATCATATCTGTATCTTAGATTATTGATATTCTGACAATTTTTGCTCCTCCTTCATCTGAATTTAATCCGTCTTTCCATGTGCTATGTTCTGGATATAGACAGAATAGGCAGAGAGACAAAATACACTTTTGTCTGTCACCTTTATGAATGGGAAACAGTATTAGTATTCTGTCCTAACAGTAACCTCTTGTCCAGAGTATAGATTAAACATCAAGACAATCATATGTTGAGGCCATTTCTTCTAGAAAAATCCATAGCTTCTCATGATCAACAAAGTCAGAGACTTTATAAAGTACAGAGTAATTTTTTTCTGAAATTCTTTGGTATGCTCTAGTAGCCAAAAAATATTGTAATATGATCTACTGCCTCTCCCTTTTCTGAATCCTGCTTAAACATTGACATTTCTCACTCCACATGTGCTAAAATCTTTGTTGCAAAATATTGTTTGCATGGGAAATTAGTGTAATGACCACAAAGTTACTGCATTCTGTGGCATTTCCTTTCATGGGAACTGGAATGTATGTTGAAGATTTCCAGTCTGTGGCCCAGTTTTTCCCCTATATTTGTTGGCATAGTCTTTTTATTATTTCTATAGATTCAGTCTCTGTAGCTCGGAATACATCCCACCTAACTCCTGGTAATTTCTTTATTTGAAGTGTTTTGAGAGCAACTTTCAACTTCTTTTCTTGCATGACACAACTCTTCTTCAAAGGAATCTGTTATCCTTGTTCTCTTCTGTATATTCTTTCCATCCTCACTTTATTTTATCCTTGTCAGATAACAGTTCCAATGTTAATTTTTCAGCATGCTTCTTCTAGGTTTAAATTTCCTTAATTTCTTGGGTTTTGTGGAAATCTCTCGTTTTTCCTCTTTCGTTGTTCTCTTCTATTTCTTTGCACTGATTATTATAATGATTCTCTTTGACTCTATGACATTCACTGAAAAATTGTACTTAGGATTCTGACATTATTTCTATTTCATCTTACTTCTGCATCTTGTCTATCATTAACAATGTTGAGACTTATGTCAGTCACCTCTCTAGGTTTTTTTGTTTTTTTCAGACTATAGTAGTTGTCTTTTTCTATTCTTTCCTGATAATCTCTCTGGTTTCAGTCTACAGTTCTTCTAGTTCACAGTCAATTGTAATGATGGAAATCTGTTCTTTATATGAACTTTATATAATAAACATTACAGAAATCTTACATTGAATCATATTTTGGCACTATGAATCTTTTTATATTCTTCATCTTTACACTTATTTTTGATACTATTATTATCAGTACCATAATATGGCCTTGTTCTTGTTTTAGCAGAGGTAATACAATTTCTTCATCTGCTACTTCCAATTATAGTCCCTAGCTGCTTGGGCTGCAACTTTCCTCAGTATTAAAACTACACCATTTCTTTTGATTTTGTCATTGCTAGAATAAAAATACTACAAAGGATGGTGGCTGCCTAAGCATAGCTATTATTATTATTATTATTTATTTAATTTATATCCCGCCTATCCAGTCATGCTGATTCTTCTGTGATTCCAAGCTATTTTATCTGGAAGCTTAAAAGGCTGTCAACAAAGTATAAATGCTGTATAGATGAATTAATTTTTGATTCAATATATGGCAACATTGTTTCACAATCATCATTTTCATAACACAATATTAGCTATTTAATATGCTTGTGAGAGTGCCAAGTTGAAGGGACAATCCCAAGTGTTCTTTCATGTGAAGAACCTTTGGACAGCATATCCATCATGTCCTTAAAGTTGAACTATCTGATAATACTTTGTGATGCTTCTCTTTCATTAAAAAAAAGGAAAGGAAAAAGGTACAGTGGTGCCTCGCAAGACAATGTTAATCCTTTCCATTGAAATTGCTGTCTTGTGAAAACATCGTCTTGTGAAATACGATTCCCCATTGTAGTGCATTGAAATCCGTTTAATGCGTTCCAATGGGGAAAAATCGTCATCGTTTTGCGAAAATCGGCCATAGGGAAGCCATTTTGCGAAGCATTGGTCCCGAAGACACCCATTTTGTGAGTCGCGGACCTAGCTTGTCAAAATTGTCATCTTGTGAAGCACCGGTGCCAGAAAAAGTCTTGCAAAGCACGAACCGAAACATCGTCCAGTGAAAATCGCCCATAGGAAACACTGTTTTGCGAAGCGCTATAGTGATCGCAAAAACTCATTGTCATGTGGATTCATCGTTTTGTGAGGTCATTATCTAGTGGGGCCCCACTGTAGTGCCTAAGTGGCACCATGGGTTTCTTTCAACAGCAGTTGTAAACAATGGAATATTGCCCTTTAACATAACCTTGTAAATTATATTATCACAAGTAATCTATGTTTCAGTTTTTAGTTCTTTGTTTTGGTTATTAAAGTGCTGAAAATATTTTTCAACATTACAGTGGACTGATCTGTTCATGTATGTGTCTCAGTGAAAAAGGAGTTCCATTTTGAGCCTGTGTCTGCCTGGACACTTTTCATGGTGTTCCAGTCCAGTAGGACATTCTGTCTCTTACCAAACGCCTACTTTGAGTTGGCATTGTGTCAAATGTATTTGTGACAGAATAAGCTACATTTGTTGTGATATGTATCTGATCAATTTAGTATTATGTTTGACAATTATTAATTTTTGGTTGAGCTTATTACCTCTCTCAATAAATCCTGGACCAAGGTCCTTGTTTCTTTTTCTAGCTATCTCTGTGACTGTTTCAGCAGGCATGGGATTTGCAGCCCCAATGCAAGAACAGTCAGTTTCATTTTATATTTCTATGGCACATTACTACAAATGACATTAAGAAATGAATGGAGTGATATTATAGTTAGCATCTAAGGAGTAACAGTGAATTCCTTTTGTAACACCAGTATTCACTGATCTGTGGTCTCAGGATTACAATATAAGATTTCTTCTTAATAATAGCTTTTAAGGTTCAGAGCCAAAATTACGATAAATAATAGCAATTCAACTAATCTTTAAAAATATTTGGCCTGTTTCAACTTTCCCTTTCTTCAAGCTTAATTTACAGTCCTCTGTTTACTATCTTTTGCTTTTATGTTTAATTTTCAACTTCATAGGTTTTAACCAAAGAATTTTATAATCTTCAAGCTATGAGTGAGAAACGTATTTCAGAACTTCAGGCACAAAATTCTGACTACCAGGCAAGGCTCGACACGTATGAAAAACTGGAGAAAGAACTTGATGAGATAATAATGCAAACTGCAGAACGTAAGTCTTTCTAAATCACCCTGATTTTCCTGTGGTTCAGTGTGGGAATATATTTAAAATCTGATAGCTGTTAATGAGATTTAGAACATTATATATTCTAAGAGTTCTGAGTACATATTCTACGGGATAATAAGATTCCGATAAAGTATGTATCATATTATGGAGCAATTGGCAGTCAGAATATCTGCTGAATTTTAATTATTTGCTTTAATGAATCTATACCAAATACCATGTACTGGGAATAATCCTCCAGATCGCAGGATTATAATACAATACATATCAGGTCTGTGTGCAAATGTTTGCTTATTTCTCCTTGTTACACCATATTTTTTCTGTGTATAAGATACCCCCATATATAAGATGCCCCCCACTTTTCCAACCCAAAATTAAGAAATCTTAGCAACTGTAGGGTAAAAAGGATCAAAGTGCTGCAGGATGGCTTTGATCCCTGCTTTCTACCTTTGTGCTAAATCCCGTGTGGCTTAGCAAAAGGAGGGGGAAAGGGATCAAAGCAATTCCATGACTGCACAGTTATTTTGATCCCTTTCCCCCTTATACAGCCATGGGATTGCTTTGATCCTTCCCGCCTCCTTTTGCTAAACCCCATGGGACTTAGCAAGCAGAGGAGAAAGCAGGGATCAATGCGATCCTGCAGCACTTTGACCCCTGCTTTCATTTTGCTAAGGCTTAACAAGTGGAGGCGAAAGCAGGGGTCAAAGCCCTGCAGTATCACTTTGATCCCTGCTTTCCCCTCCACTTGTTTTTTCTCCTCAGCTTACTTCCATGTATAAGACAACCCTCAATTTTTAGTCTAAAGGTTTCAGACAAAAGTATAGTCTTATACACAGAAAAATATGGTAATTACTTGATATATTTGACATGGGAGCTGCTGGACTTTTTAAAGCAGCCCTCCAGGTTAGATACTGTAATTTGTAGTTGGAATTGTTTCCCCTGATTTAGCAACAGTGTTCTGTGATATGATTCTGTTCTGTGAAAAGATTTCCACTTCTGGCATCACCAACATCTATTGCAGAGGGCAAAATGCATGTTGCCGGGTAGTAGTGACATGTGTGCACCCCAAAAAATATGATGCAGAAAGTTACATGGAGCAACTCTTGTTTTTATAATTTAGGCACACAAATTATTCTCCTGCCACATTTGATGACTAGCAACCTTAGAACTTTGAAGGTCAAATAATCTGTTCTGAATGATTCTCTGGTTTGGATGCTTTTTTTAAACATCTCTGGAGTGTGTTCATATGCAAGGAAATATATGCATAAATCTATATGAATTATTGGTCAAAATCCTGTTGCACTGTATTGTAACTCACACTAGAACAGGTCCATGGGGATTTAGTGAGTTAACTCCTCTGTAAGTTCCATTAATTCAAATGGGCCTATTCTAATTGTGATTTACTTTAGCTTAGAAACAGGATTTGGGCCATTTTTTATTTCTTTAGAGGCTTAGAGCATATTATAGTAATATAACCTTAACTGTGACTACTGAAGTAAGATTCAACATGTATTGAACCCTCTTCCTCTAGTCTCTTTTTCATCTGTTTCTGCACATACGAATCTCCTCCATGCACCTTGCTTTAAAGCCATCGGTTCTGTTTCAATGCAGAGACAATGCAATTATCTCCATTACAAACATTAAAATCACAACATTACTTTGAGAAACTCTTACGATTCTTTTTCATGGTCTCTCTTCACCCTGTCATATAGGTTGTGCACTTAAATGGATGCCCATTTAGCTAACATTTTGGTGGGAGCCCTGTCCTTCATGCATATGCTCAAGGGAACATGGATCTTGCCTTCCATATTATTTCAACTGCCACAGGTCATAAGATGCCTTGAGTATCTTTGCAGGGAGAAATGTGGGGTTGAAGTAAAAAAATAAACAAAATACAGAACGTTTTCTTGACATTCTTTTCATTGTTCCAGTAGTCCATTTGCATTTCTTACATCTTCTCAGACAAGCAGATGAAAATTGGGTTTCAAACAATGTGCCTGTTTGGGTGAGGGTGTTACTCTTCAGTACAGCTCTGTTGAGTTGATGCGTCTTTCTGCCCAGTCAAAATCCATTATTCTTTTAATAGGCTAGAGGGGTATTATCGTAGGTTTCAAACATTCAACTCAGGACGTGTTATTTATAAGGTTTACTTTTCTTAGTTTTAGAATAACTGACTTAATTGTTAGAGAGGGCTTATCACTTTTATTTTAATCTAAATTATAGTTATTTGCTTTGATAAACTTAACTGAATAAAGAAGTCCTCAGTCGTTGTGTTTACTTCCTAGGATGTCATTCCCTTGATTGGACTGTTTGCTATTACTTCTTACTTCCAGGAAGTAAACATGCCAATCAAATACCTCCCTTTTCAATTAAGATTATTAAGGCAAAGAATGAGCATTTTGAGCAAAAATAAAAACAATAAGTTGTTTTTAATAAATAAATTAGATCAAACAATGTTAAAGATGAATAAGCTATGAAAGTCGCCTTTGAAATCTACTGGAGAAGACCTTCTTATAGTCCCATTACCTTGAGAAGCCTCTTTGGTGGAACCATGAGAAGACAGACTCCTCTGTAGTTGCTCCCAGGCTTTGCAGCTGTTTGCCAAGAGAAGCTAGGTTTCCTCCACTCCTCTCCTTCCAATGCGAAGCAAAGACCTGTCAGATTTTTGTTGATGTGTTGGATTTCTCCATTTGTTTATTTGTTTAAGGTAAACTAGTACTAGTATTTTAATAACAAGAGTTTAGCATTTTGATTTTAATTGCATTTTAATAAAATGATACATTTAAATGTACTTAATATTTGCAACTTCATTTTTAATTGTCTGCTGTTGTTAAACTATTCTGTGCCACTTTGGAGCCTAGTTCTGGCAGAAAATAGCATATAAATAAGTAAACAGAATAATACTACCATAGAGTTGTATAAGTAGCAGAGAATGGTTTGCAGCTATAGTTCTTTGTTGCTTTTTCAAAAATCCTAGAGGTCATGGGGGCTTGGGGGCTGCATGTGGATCATGGGATATATTTAGCCTAGTCTGTGTGTAGAGCTTTGGGATGTGTACTCCTTTTTGTTAATGTACTTCAATACTTCGAATGCTTTGGTACTTAGAGTCCAACCTTGTTCTTTGCTGATGGAGTGCTACAGACTTGAGGAAGTCAGTCCAGCTCACTCAATGACTGGTACATTGTGTGATGAGGAACTTGTGGTGCAGTAGTTTAACTGTAGTATTGCAACCAACACTCTGTTCATGGTCAGCATTCCATACCCTCAGATTCAACAGTTCAAGGTTGGCTCAGCCTTCCATCCTTCTCAGGTCAGTAAAATGAGTACCCAGCTCACCAGGGAGGGGCAATGTGTATCCTGTATAATTAAAAATTATACAGGCTACACATTGTACCAGCCCCATACCGCTGGTACATAAACAGTTGTTGTTGTTGTTTAGTCGTTAAGTCATGTCCGACTCTTCATGACCCCATGGACCAGAGCACGCCAGGCCCTCCTGTCTTCCACTGCCTCCTGGAGTTCGGTCAAATTCATGTTGGTAGCTTCGATGACACTGTCCAACCATCTTGTCCTCTGTCGTCCCCTTCTCCTCCTGCCCTCACACTTTCCCAACTTCAGGGTCTTTTTCAGGGAGTCTTCTCTTCTCATGAGATGGCCAAAGTATTGGAGCCTCAGCTTCAGGATCTGTCCTTCCAATGAAACAGTAAACACTTTATTTTATCATGCAAAGAAGCAATTGAGTATAATTAGCATACTGAGGTTTCATCAAAAATTAGATATTAGAAAGAAACAAGACAGCGTTAATTTGCAAGATGAAAGTACAGCTGCCTCTACTTTTGGAACTGATCATGCACAGCTACTAATAAATAGTTTTCACTATGCACATGTTGATTCTTTTTCAACAACGAGTGTTAATGTTGGAACTAGCCACTTGCTTATTTACTTCAAATAATTTTAGGCTATTTTTAAGTGTAGAAAACGTCTCAAAAGAGAGTTTATAAGGTTGCCATAAGTTGGAGGTGACTTGAAGGCACATAATGACGACGACGACGACGACGACGATGATGATGTGCCATCAGTTCTGACTTATGGTGATTTCTTTCAGGGCTTTCCAAGTTGAAAATATTCAGAACTGGTTTACCATTCTCTTCAACAATATAATAAAACTAATCATCAATTTAAAATTAAATAAATAAACTGCAGCAATTGCAGCAAAAGTCAGCATTCAAAAAATGCAGTTAAAAGAAAAGCCTGTAAGAAAATGGGTCTTTGGTGCTTTCAGAAGTGGTGGATGACAAGAGTCCTGGCAAGTGCTTGATGAAAACTTGTGCCAGAAGAGCTGGGCCTCACTATCAGAAGAGCCAGAGCTAATTCAGAGGGCAAGCTAGTGTGAGAGATCCTCATTCAAGTTCCTTGAGTCAAGTTCATTTGACTCAAAGCATACTGAGAACCAAGGCGCACTATATTGGTGGCACCTGAAGGGGCTGCCCAGTTGGAGCACTGAGTCTTCATCAGCTGCAGTTTCAGAACAGCTTTTAAAGGTATTTCCACATAGAGTACATTACAGTAATCCAGCTTGGATAAAGTCACAGTTCAGGGTATTAGCCTAAGCTGCTGGAACATATCCTGGACATCACTGTCACCTGAACAAACTGTTCCTCAGTTAATGGCATGTCTAGTTCCTGAGTGAAAGTCAGTCCCATGAGCACTCCCAGTCTTCATACTGTATTTGTTTCTTCAGGAAGTACAGCCTCATCAGATGCCAGATTGTGGTTGATTTCTCTAACCATAATGTTTCTGTCTTGTCTAGATGTAATCTCAGCTTGCTTGCTTTTATCAATCAAAACAGTTTCTCCAGACGTTGGTTCAAAGGTTTTATAGTCTTTCTGGAATCAAAAATTAGGGTTTAGTGTTTTAAGAATATCGATAACATTTGAGTTCAGATCTCTAATGACTTTCCCAGTGGTTTAATGCAGATGATTAGGATC